TTGGGGGGTAGTACACGTACGCTGTGAATAAATCGAATGTAAGATATAAGATACAGAGAATAGAAAGAGATATTGGGAGAGTGAAAGGAGAGAAAGCTAAAAGAGGAGAAAATGAGAGAGAGAGCGAGAGAGAGAGAGAGAGAGAGAGAGAGAGAGAGAGAGACGAGAGAGAGAGAGACAGACAGACAGACAGACGGACAGACAGGCAGGCAGACAGACAGACAGAGGGGGGAAGAGAGAGAGAACTAAAGAGAAGAAAATGAGAGAGACAGAGACAGAGAGAGAGAGAGAGAAGAGAGAGAGAGAGAGAGAGAGAGAGAGACAGAGACAGAGAGAGAGAGAGAGAGAGAGAGAGAGAGAGAGAGAGAGAGAGAGAGACGACGACGACGACGACGACGACGACGACGACGACGACGACGACGACGATTACAACATCTCCAGGAATTTCCAGATAACCCAGAGAAGTACTTTGAGGCAACCTAATAACTAATAGATCTATCTGACTCTACTCACCACGAGCGCAGTAGCGCAGGCTTTGAGGTCGTCAGGACTGAGGATCATGTGACACACGGAGGCTGTATCTTTGATCAGAGAGTTCTGGAAGGTTTTCAGCGGATGGACACACAGAGCCTTGCACATGGTGTGGTACGTCTGGACTGCCAGGTCCTCGTGCACAGTTCTCGTACTCTCCAGGCGGAGGTCGTCCTCGTAATCCTCATCTACAGAAACATGTATTCAATAAAATAAAGCAAGGTCGAGCTAGGTTGAAATTTATCTCCATCTTTATAGTTTGCTTATATTTCCTTGCTAATTTTTCTTGTTGTTGTTGTTGTTGGTGGTGGTGGTGGTGGTGATGGTGGTGTTGTTGCTATTGTGGTTGTTGTTGTTGCTGTTGTTGTTTTGTTTTTGTTGTTGTTGTTGTTGTTGTTGTTTTGTTTTGTTGTTGTTGTTGTTGTTGTTGTTGTTTTGTTTTGTTGTTGTTGTTGTTGTTGTTGTTGTTGTTGTTGTTGTTGTTGTTGTTGTTGTTGTTGTTTTGTTTTTGTTCTTTTGTTCTATTTTTCTTTTTCTTTCCTTTTTTTGGGGTGGGAGGAAGGGGGCGGGGGAGAAAATGAGGTACATGTATATAAACACTATGGTTACTTTCAAGCGTTTGTTTTTAATCTTAATTAAGTGTTAGTAGGAGCTTTAGGGCACTTTCAACACAATTAGGCCATATTAATGAGTTCCGAAGATTAGAAGTGTATGGTACAAGGGAGTAACTTACACAAAAAAGAAGGCGGAAGGATAAGTAGGATAGATGTATATTAGGAAAGAAGGAACTAACCACACTTGAGCACCTTACTTGTCTGTGTTACATTTCTATTACGATTTCAAACCATGTGGGCCATATACCACAGTACAGTGGCATTGGTAGTCTAGTGTTTAGATCACCGGACTCTTAATCGTGAGGCTGCAGGTTCGGGGGGGTTCGAATCTCAGCTCGGTCCGACGTTGTGTCCTTGCAATGGGAATGGCACTTTACACGACTGTCCCACTTGGCTCGGTCCTTTTGGACATTGACGATAAACTCGGAGGTCCTGCCTAATAATAACCTAACAGTGTTAATAGGGGCGTTAAACCTACACCACTTCATGTTCACACATCATATGTGAGGCAGCGAGGTGGAATCAGGCTCTCGTCAAAATATTCAAAATGAAGAAACTTGCTAAAAAGCAGGTTTGTGAATTTTTATCGAATTTTTGTTTTTTGGCTCAACACCTTTCATGCGCATTAAAGAACTCATTTTTGTGTGAATTTTTCTGAAAAACGTTGATTAAAGGCACACAAAAATGTAAAGTTTCAGTTACCACGAATTCTTTAGCTAAGGAAATAACTAATCTTTGGCGGCCATTTTCTCTCTAATTTTACCTCTAAAAACAGTGAACCCTACCTCCTTCTTTCGCAAATATCTCGACCTGTATTCAAGATAAATGGATATTTTGTTCATACCTATAAAGACGAGTGAACAAGCTTTAAGATGATACCATTAACTCTACATGCCCAAAAATTGACGAGAGCCTGATTCCACCACGCTGCCTCACATATGGAAAAGACATCACGATTGAACACGAGGAGTGGATAATGTACAGCTCTCGGTTCGAACTGATACTCTTCCCAGCCCCACTCAATGCTAAGAAAATCAGAGGCCAAGATTGACAGGGATACACTAATCAGACCCTTCCCGCAGGACTAATTTAACAGGAGTCAATACAATCAATAATAACGACAATGTGAATTTATATAGCTCCAAATTCCTAGAAAAAAAATCAAGAGGAAGGTCACGTGAAACTTGAAGAAGATCCACGGAGAATGATTGACAGGAAAGTGGGGGAGATATGGAATGATATCAAGAGAAGAATCCAGGATTGGGAAAGGGGGCAAGTGTTTGTTCATGGCACATACCCTTATCCAGCTTGAGAAATGCAATGATGGCGATAATAATGATGATGATGATGATGATGTATTCCTAGAAATGTATAAGCTCTGCAAAAAAACAGTAGGTTTTTTGTTACCGTTAGAAATGGAGTCGTCTTCTGCCCCTTCATCAATTTTCCAACAAGAAGTGCCGATGTACAACGCCCCGGTGCTTTTCTGTTGGTCATTCTGGTCTCTGGTGGAACTGTCCTGGTCTGTGCTGACGTCACTGGACGAACCTTGTTTGCTGAGGTCTATGGACACTTTTGCTTTGCCCTGCTTTCTGCCTGGTTTCTACATGAAAATTGTGATTTTTAAAAACCAGAGCAATTGAGCACGAAAGCAAGTATTGAAGTTTAAAAAAGAGCAGTCAAAGAATTGCATGATAATATGCGTGCAGTCTTGAAAATGTAATAACAGGCAGTAAAAGAATCGAGCGAGTGCATAGATAGATAGATAGATAGATAGATAGATAGATAGATAGATAGATAGATAGATAGTCCTACTCCAGATGTTGCATCCCCCACACCCACATCCACTTTTCTATACTTTGTTGGTGATGACACCCTTGTGGGTAGAGGAAAGATACTATATTGACATGTACGATATGGATTATAATTATAATTCTCAGTACCACTCCAGACGTAAAACTCATACTCTATTTAGAGGATAAGTTGCGCCATGAATTTTTGACCGCGCTATATCAATAAACCATAACTAAAAGAATCATAATTACCTAATTGTGTTGCAAGTGCCGTAATACTCAAACTAAAACTTAAGTAAAACTAAAAGACATTCGTTGCGTCGGTGCAACATCTGGAGTAGGACTATCCACGTCGTATGGATACGATAGTAAAACACGACGTACGGATAGGGTTAAAAAGACGTACCTTGACCAAGGTGATGTTCCTCTTTTTGGGCATGAGCCTGAGCCTGTAGGTGGCGGCCAGTGTGTGGGGGTCAGGCCTCATCGAGT